GATTATATTTAATATAGAATTTTATTATTATTATTATTACTATTTACAAAATATTACAAAAATATCTTTGGCTCTCTTTTTCCTTCAACTTTCTTCACAACTCCTGGACCTCATCTTCTAAATTTGCAATCTGAACTTGTAGCAAATTTCTTTCTATAACTATCTGCTTGTGGATAGTACTTTGTTGCCATTCTTGTTGGATTACCTCGAAATTCAGCGGGGCCCTTTTGCTTGCTTCAGCTTCCAAATTTGCAACTTGATTTTGAAAGGAAAACAAATAACTGAAAATTGCTTGACTTTTGCTTTGGCAAGGCATCTATAAAGCAAAAAGTTAAAATATATATATTTTAAATAATATACTTAAAATGATAAAAAGAAAATATCAAAAACAGTTAAGTGTTGGCCACTACCTAATTGCAAGAAAAAAAAAGGAAATAACAAAAAAAAAATTGTTTACTAAGCCCAAAACAGATTATCTGCCTAGCTCATCCAAATAGATGACTGGCCTTATTCTAAAGTGCCTTAATATTAGACAGAACAAGCTTACAGTCCAAAAAATATACACATCTTAGTGAAAAACAATAGATAAAAAGACAAGTTTATCAATAAGAAAAGTTTTTTGACAAGGAAACTAGTAGAAAAAGAAAAGAAGATAAGAAGTTTTGTAAACCAAAACACAGAAAAAAGTAGATAAAATAAATAACAAAAACAAATATAACAGAAAATTAAAATTTTTATTGATAGACAAAGAATAATCATAACAGAAACAATGTAATTGCTAAATTTAGAAATAGATGAATCAATCAGAATAAAGTTACTAATTTTAGACAAATTAGAAAATAAGGTTCAGAAATCTCATTTTTTAAGGGGAGAAAGACACAAAGAACACTATAATTATAAAAATAAAATAAAATAGACATGTGGTAATACAAATTTTGTCAAATTTTAGAACAAAAAATTGTTTAACATGTATTGTAAATAATGTAGCTATAAATAGAATACAAAAAAAAGCATGTGTTAAACAAATTTAGCTGCTACTAAATATGAAACAGTATGGGTTAAATGAAATTAATAAGAGATAGCATAGGTTAAATGAATTACAAATTACTGTGCCAAAGATTGCTTGGCATAGGAACATAAAGAGAATTTTAGCAGATATAAAAAGACCAAAGAAATGCCTTCCTTCAATATTAATTTTCTCTATATTTTTGAACTAAAATTTCTAATAATCTTAACAATAATGAACCTAGTACAGGACCTACCAATATGAGTTATCCCACAAATTTACTACAAAGCCTTTAAATTACAGGACCTCTGTAAACAGGTTCAACATCCAGGTACTATTATATGTAAAGCTAATAGTACTATTCTTATCCTTAATATAGAAACCTTATATATATTACCAACAACCTGTAATGATGATCTGTTGACCAAAATAAAAATAGATCTACTAAACACAATACCAAACCAGATTTTCTTAATTATTGTACTAATGACTATCAATACATTATGGAAAAATTGTTATACCAAAATTACTAAGGAATACTGATTAATTGTATGCTTATCTAACTATAACTAGATACATTATTTAGTTTACAATTATCATCTAGGAGCCCTATTATTAGAAAAACCAGATCATGACAAGTCTATAAAGACAAGTAGAATTAAGGCCTAGATTATAACCTATCGATTGTTCAAAGCTATTGGCTATGAACAAATATATCAAACAAAAAAACTAACTCTAAAACATATCAGTGATATGAGTGAAGCCAAGTTTAATCAATTAGTTAACTTTTGTGAATAGTACAAAAGTTATGGGAATTTTGTGGAACAAAATTCTTAAGAGAAGGAAAATGTTATAAAGTAAATTTTAGCATAGTATATTATAGTAGTATTAGTAATTATATATTTATTCATTATTGTATTTTATATTATATTTATTATTAGTCATTAGTTAGTCAATAATTATATTATATAATAGATAGATAAAAGGATCTTAATTGACTATTAGAAATGTGGTACAACCACATGACATTGAATAACATCTGTAATATTACTATCATCTTACAAATTCTAAGTACCCAATACCAGTTTCATGTATTTTAGTACCAAATTACTGTGTCAAGTAACACAATACAAAAATCCCAAGTATCTTCAACACAAACCCCAAGTGTCTCCACATGAACCCCAAGTATCACTGCACAAATCCCAAGTGTCTTTGCATGGATCCAAATGCCTAAACACAAGCCTCAAGTATTTCAAACATGAATGACAAATCATATAAACAATATTTTCAGTTGCCTCTGCACAGTCTCTACTACCCCAAATACAGTATTATTTAATGTTGTTTGAACTTCCATTATACCAATTACAATGATATCTAATGTTGTTTAAACTCCTATTATCCTAAATACAGTATCAAGTAATGTTGTTTGAATTCCTACTATTCTTGCTAGGTAAAAAAATATATAAAGAATAACTTTTACTCTTTTCTGCCAATTCTAAATTCCTATACTTTAATCTAAACCCTTTTATCTCTACCTCTAACTTGTAAAAATGATATTCCCCCTCTAGGATAATTCTTACAGATAAGGTTGTTACTGTGTATTTATTTAATAAAAGTTAATCTATATACTGTTATTATCTCAAACTGTTTGCCTGCTGTTGTGTAGTAAAGTGAACTACTACACCTCCACCCTATATATATTTGCAATAGTCAATCACTGTACTGGATGACCTTATTACTTGGTTGTATTGTACCAAGAAGACTACAACCCTGTAACACTATTTACATTAAAATAGGTACTAAAAAAATAATTAAAAATTTTAAAAAAAAAGAATAAGTAAAAGAATTAGTAAGCATGTAATAGCTTATTTGAAAATATATTTTTTAATAAGTAATGTTAATAAAAATGATAGATATAATATAGAATAAATGTGAAATGAATTAATGAAGTTAGTAAAAAGGATAATCTAAAGGAAAGTGATGTTTCAAAAATGTCAACTATTTAAACTGAATCACAAGATATGCAACACAACACAAGCAAAGAACAACACAAGTAAAAATTTACAATAGTTGTAATAAAAGTTTACATACATACATACCCAAATTGCAAAAGGTTAAGGTTTTAAAAGAGCAGAATCTAACATTTTCCTAATGTAAAATTTTTAATAATCAACCTTTTTTAAAAAAAATACCGATACTTGTTTCTTTTAGTCTTACATAATCGATTGTACTACTACTTTAATGCAACTGAAATTTAATTTGTCTGGTTAGAAGTTTGCCAAAATTTAATAATAAATTTCACTGATTCCGACGCGAATCATGAATTAAAATTTATATTTTAGTTTTTATATGTAACATAAACTTTTGATCAGCCTACCGGCTGGCTTTTTTTTAATTTTTCATATAAATTTTACAAAATTTTTTTAAAATTTATTTTTAAAAACCCATCCGGTATTAAAACGTATAAAAAAAATTTTTTTATAAGCTTTTAAATTTTGACCCGCCCGGGTTATGAAAACCAATTAATTAATTTTGTATGGCGTAAATTCTAAAATATCAAAATTCATGTGATAAACCCGAATTATTAAAACCTCTACTTTGCTACGTAGCAAAATTACCTACGTGAAATTGTTACACACGATTTTTATTAAGAAAATCATAATAAATCTATTTTTAGAAAAAAATTGCTAGCAAAGATCCCATATATTTTACGTGGAAGTTTCAATCATACTGAGAGCAAATGGATATCAAAAGCAGTACCAGTCCAAAGAACGCGTTGAAGCCCTACGGAAGGGGATTTAGACAAAAAAAACGTAGTTCGACTCTTCTACTATATTCTACTTGTAACTTTAATTCAAACGATGCTTTAATTTATTTTAGGTTCTTTGACTTCTATAACAACTTCGTTTTCAAACACTGATGTAAACGCGAAGTTTGGATTCGGACCTCCATTCCTTTTCTCTCTTCCTGAACCAATCGATGATCCTTGGAGACTCAATTCTGAGTTGACACTAAGAGATATTGGCGCGAGACCTGTGTCTACACATGCTTGGCGCCGTATACTAGAAAGAAGAAAAGTACATAATTTTTTTGACAGTACTCAAGAAAAATATAAGAAAAATATAAAAGAAAGAACCGAAGAGACAAGCGATGATGAGGTATAAAATATGTGGATATATTACTTTTGATATTATTACTTTTTTATTAATTAATACATATATATGTTTTTTGTCTAAAGGATAGTAAAACCGTGTGTTCTAAACAAAATTTTAATAACAAATCAAATAATGATCTTGTACATAATATAAGCCGGTAGCACACAATATATATTTATTGTTTTTGATGTAGTTAAATAATTGAATCATTAGGTTCGCACACCTAATATACAACATGTTCAGGTTACTCGATCTGGGGCCAAGGATCTTCCTTGTTATTCTACTTTATAAATCTGTTGAATTCCTGTGGACTATACAGCAGGCAGTAGATGTGAAAGTTGATGAATACTCGCAAGGTTAGTGTAATAAATGCAGGTATGTGTGCAAAAAATCTTTATTAAATTTGTTTTTCATCAAAACCTAGAAATGCTAAAATCAATATCAGAATGTTCCAAAAATTATCTTGAAAATCGATGTGCACCCGGAGATAGGGTTCCAGCGTTAGATAGTGTATGCACACAGTGGGAAAAATATCCTTTTAAATTTTTTTTAAATAATAATAATAATAATAATAATAATAATAATAATAATAATAATAATTTCCTTAACAATGATTACGTGTATGAACCGTGATCCCACCGTGTTTGCAAGGTTAAAATCAATTATATATATAATATTTACCTATGTCTGAATACATCCAAATCCTAACATGGTAAAGAATTTAATCTTAGGGCCAAAATTTCTGCAGAAGCATTTGGTGAAATAATCAATAATCTTATGGAACAATTTTCGTATAAAACAATGGTAAAATCTATTATATGGTGTGATTTACATTTATAAATTACTTGCTTATTTATAATGTATATTATATTTAAAGCTTTTTATGGTCGGCATTGTTCTTGCCATATTTTTGTCTCGAGCCCTTATTGAGTTATTCAAAACACGGTTTCTTAATAATTTTCCACCACAAGCACCTAATACACATCCTGGCATGCATTCTATGCCTTCACAAACCCCTATGACACCAATGCAAGTACATTCAGTTTCTCCAATTCAGCATCATATGTCGCCCAGCACTTCAGTAGAGAATTCGATGACATCACAACATAATAATGTTGGAGTGTATTACGTAGTAACACCAACACGCTAACAAGCAAATTCATGTCAGTTCTAGGGTTTTTTTTTTCTTTACTTTTTAACCTCGTTTTCATATGAACCACTGTAAGAAAAACCACATTTAACCTAATATTGCACGTTTTCTTTATCATACATAAATAATGTTCAAATAATGAACGAGACTGTGATTATAAATTTATAAAAATTTGCCTAAAGCATTTTATTTATTCATAAATCGTGACTAGAAATTAAAATTCTAAATGAAACTACAACCAACTAACGCGTAAGGAGGATCGACAAAAATATTCATGTGACAGTATAAATCTAGTCATCATCGTAGTCCTAGCAAAAATATTAGATTAATTGAAATGAAATTTTTGCACTAGTAAAGACATCAATATTAAAAGTACATACACGTTTGTATACTTCAGTTTTAGTGCCAAACAAACCCGTTTTCGTTTCTATGACTTCTTCGTTTCCACAATCATCAACATATACAGTTTCCGTTTTTTTACCAAATAGACCATCGGATTCGTATGTTTCGACTGGTCTTTGACCGATATGATCATGCACAAATTCATGTCTTCGTCTTTCTTCTTCTTCGTTCTTTTCATGCTTATGTTCTTTATAGCTTTCCACGGCTTCCGTTGCAAGGAAACCCCCAAGTAAACCGACACCAGCAGCACCTTTCCAAATAAAATAAATAACTTAAATGTTTACGTAATCATTTGATAATCTGCAGATAAACTAACCTGCCAATGCTAGCCCAGAAGAAAAAGACGATTTTGTAGGCTGGTTTGAAGTAGATTGTTTACTAGTTGCTGTGGGTGGTGCATTTTGACCTTGGGGTGGATATTGACCTCCTTGAGGTGGATATTGACCTTGGGGCGGATATTGACCTTGGGGTGGATACTGACCTGAGGGCGGTTGTCCGTAAGAACTGTAGCCTGTTGGTGGAGGTTGTCCATATCCGCCACTTGGTGGAGGTTGTCCATATCCACCACTTGGTGGAGGTTGTCCATATCCGCTACTTGGTGGAGGTTGTCCATATCCGCCACTTGGTGGAGGTTGTCCATAACCACTAGTTGGTGGTGATGTATAACTTGTTGGTGGTGGTGGTTGTTGTCCATACCCACTTGGCGGTTGTCCATATGTGCTTTGTGAATAATTCCCTGATTGAGGAGCACCATATTGCGGCTGAGAATATTGAGATGCCAGTGGTCCAGAAGGTGGTGGTCCAGGTGGTGGTCCAACTGGCCCCGGATGATTCCATTGCGAGACACCAGTAGCTTGATCTAACAACGTTCATTAATATTTTAACCATTAGCATTTCAACTATATACTCTAGATTGCTATTCCAAAAACGCGTTCAAATTCGTTTCTTTTTAATAACATGATACTCACTGACGTAAAAATATTTCTGAGTATTTGGATCATATTGAGATATCCATCCTGGTGGCAGTCCCGAATCCATTTCTAAAGTTGATTTTGAATAAAAGGTTTAACACCTAAAAATATATATCACTGCTGCACGTGGTAAATCTTATATCGATATAAATTAGTCTTGTGGTGAAATAAAAGTTCGATAGCAATTTACCAGGTTTTTGAAGTGTATATATATATATATTTAGGTTTTTTTTTTTCTGTGCTTATGTGCATATTTTATCAAGGTAATTTTTTAGTGCCCCGTTATTTTCTGCATGTAATTATACGGATTTGGAAATTTACACAAATCTTGGATTATTTATCGCTAGATCGGCCAATAAACAATTATACTTTATGCGTACTTTTAATTTTTAAAGGTTGTTTTAAGTATACATTTTGGGCAGACGACAAAAAATTTTCGTACGCATGTTCGATAATGGCAAAAAAATTCACATCATATGAAATGTCGCTATAAAAAACTTTGAGTAAATACACTGGCGATCATAAATAATGCAACAAAAAAAAAAAATTCTTTAGATCGCAATATTTCACGCAATTCTGGGTTATTTTATTTTATTTTTATTTTATTTTATTCACAAATACTATCTTTTTTAAATAGCAAAATTTTAATAGTCATTATTATTACCAATGTGAAGATAATTGTGAATTTATTACAAATTACATGTTGCATTATTTTTGATCATTTTTAACAAAGATCAGATCACGTGAGCTGTACTATATAAATACATATAAAAATGTAAGTTTCATTGTTGATTCTGCATTTTGTGTAATGTTAGGATTGTTTACAAATCAAAAAAAAAAGAACTGTACAACCTCTGCCTAACAAGCTCAAATATTGTTTTTCTTTCAAAAAGGATACATTATAAAAGTAAGTTGAATCTATCATATTAATTTTTTCACATTTTCATAAATTAAAAAAAGTGACTAGTAAATCACATACTTAAAAATTTAGGAAGAGTTGGTTATTCAATTTTATTAAATAAACCAACCCAAAGAAGAATAATAAATTTAATTATCTTCTGTTATTATTTTATTATTATTGAAATAAGAACTCATTTTAAAATAAATAAAAATATTGAAATTTTGATGTTTATTATTTATTAAATATTTCAAAATTATGGTTTTGTATTAGAAATTAAAAAAAAAATACTATTTAAATAATAGTCATTAAAAAACATAACTTGTTTTTATAAAAAAATATGAAAAATAAATTATTAAAGATTGGTTTAAGATAATTTGATATTAGAAGTATTATGGAGAATTATTAAATTAGTTTTATTTTAAGCTTACTGTAAAATATAATAACAAATTAATTATAATTTAAGATTACTTTATCTCTTATAATACTAATAACTATTGTAAGATTAATAACATGATAAATACAGATTTGTATTTTCAAATATTCTATAAAGATTTGATGTAGATGATTAAAGATCATGAATTTGAAGTCAGTGAAATTGTTTTTCAACAAGATGAAGCATATTGTCATATGTCAATTTTGACTAAATATTGGTTTAAAAGAAAGAAAATAAAGTTTTTTAATTAGGTTTTTTAATTAGTTAATCTAAATCTAATTAAACATTTGCAGAATAAAATTAATTATTATCTTAAAGACCTTTCTAATTAAATTTCAAATAAAAAGAATTTCTGAGAAAAAATTCAAATAATTTGGCAAACAATCAATATTGAAACCTGAATAAGATTAATTTGTTTAATGTCAAAATGAATTCATAATATAATTAGAGCCTAAAATGATTATACCAAATGGTAATAACTAAAAATTATTAGAAAAAAAAAATTTTTTTTATATAAAAAAATTTTTTTATTTTATAATCATATTGTTATAAAATAAGCAAAAATAATGCAATACATATATTGAAATAAAGCTTGTGCTTCTAAAAAATTTTGATCACTAAATTTTTTTTTTTGTTGTTCAAGGTTAATATTATTAGTAATTACTGTTTTTATTGTGTTTTTAGTTAATGCATTACATATAATTTGTACAAGATAAGTGTACAACTAGCTACATATATAACTTTTGATTACCTATTTTAAGTAATCTAACCAAGAATTCTATACTAGCTGTCATACTTGTAACCTATTAGAAGGGTACTTATTTAAACATTCTGATTCTTATATTATACTTAGGTGAGTAGTACCTAGTTCCTGTATACCTAAATGTTATTCAATGCAATATTTAGATTTCTTTTTTTGTATATCTGTTAAGTTGTTACACATTTCAAAGTACATCACCTAACTGTAAGGTTCTAAGGTACCACTTTGTTAACTACTTAACTATTCTACAAAACATTAACAAAACTAGCCTTTATAGAGTTCATTCAGATCCTAGTACCTACTTCATAGCATATTCTTAATATTTATAATATATCTCTGCTTTGTTCTCAAATTCTCAATCTAAATAGTCCAGAAGAACTGTAATCTGTTTTTAGTATATCAAGCCAGCCTAATATTCTTTTTTTTTAGTTTAGTTCTGATGGCCTGGTTGGTGGTACCTCTTATCTGAGGTTTTTGCTTAACTGACTCTTCTACATTGGTATTCATTTTTTAGATTTAGCCTTTATAATAGTACTGTCAAAATTTGTATTACCTTTCTATTCAGGTCTTTTCAAATAGGCTTCAGTTTTTTAGTTTTACAGATTCACATAGTTATAAGAACTTATCTTAGGTTTGCACCACCTAGTATTGGTTTGCATTTCTCTGTATAACCAGAATTACACACATAGTTACAAGTATTTTATTCTAACTAATTAACAGAATATCATCTATATATTACATAGATAATTATCCAAATTTTACTATTAGTAGGTTTTGAACTCACAACTTACTACTTGGGGGTTGACAACTTATCCACTTTACTAAGTTACTACACCCTTCATTACTAAATTTTTAAATCTTTTTTATTAATAATAATATTGTTATTTGTAATTTAAATAAAAAAAATTGAACAAATATGTCTGAAATTGCATAAGATAATATAATTCAACTAAATTTTTTTTTGTTGTATTATTTATGATTGCCAATATACTAAAACAAATTTATAATTAATTTAAATATAATAGAAATTATAAGTAATAAAGCATAGTGTGGTGACCTAGTGAAGTGATCAGGTTGTCAACCCTCCAAGTAGTAGGTTGGATGTTCAAATCCTATTAATGGCAAAAATTTAGATAATCATCAGTGTTGGGCTAACCAAACCAATTCGACCATTTGACCAGACCAGTTTGACCAATGACCAGTCTGGTCAAGCATATTTGACATTGGTCAAGTTGTCTAGTTATAAGAAAAAATTGTTCAATTAGACCAAATAACTATTATTAAATTTGCTTGATTGTCATATTGCTAGACCATTTGACCAATTTGACCAGACCAGTTTGACCAGAAACCCTTCAACCAATGACTAGCAAATTTATAGTCGACCACTAATTTGATCAACACTGATAATCACCTATGTAATATTTATATTATAGCAACTGTTATTAATGATTGAGTTAGGATATTTGTAATAGTAGTTGCATCAGCATGACTGGCAGATTATAGAGCATCTGTGCAATATTGGAGTTATACAAAGAAATGCAAACCAACAAATTAAGCAGTATAAATACTAGATAAGTCCTTGTGACTATATAAATTCATTAAAATTGAATAACAAGAAGTTATTTAGAAAGATCTAAGTAAAGAGATAGCTGAATTTTTGATAACCTTACTGTGAAGGCTAATTCAGTAAAACAAATATTAAGGTCTAGTATCTGGTCATAGTAGCCAAATAGGCAAAAATCTTCAAATTGGAAGTCTTGAAGGTACTACCAACCAGACTGCCAGAATGAATCAGAGAAAAAAGATATTGGGCCAATCTGATATATTAATGAACTGGTTATAGTCTTACATAGGCTATCTGGATTGGAAGTTTGATAAAAAGGCAGGAGTATACTAAAGTACTGGGATTATGCTGTGAAGTAGATATTAAAATCTAAGTAAACTCTACAAAGACATAGCAGTTTAATAGTTAAGCCCTAACTGCAAGTGTTAGTTCTGTTATAGCAATATCTAGGTTAGTTGTAAAAATAAATACAGAAGGCTCTAAGGAGTTTATCTTGAAGATAAATTAGTTCTAAAATTGAGATAATAATCTGGGCATCTGAATATGACCAAGTAAATTAACATAAGTTACAAGTTTAGAAGGTTTAAATTAAAACATCCAAGCAGAAATATTAGATATGACAATTGGTAAAAAATCTTCAAGCAAACTCCTTAAATAGGTAATATAAAAAAGTTATACATGTAGCCAATTGTATGCTCTTCTGTAGTGGTTCATTGAACCACAATACTGATAAGTGATTAATAAAAGTCAAAAGACTGAAGAGATCATCTTAATACCAAAAAAAAAAAAGATACAGTAACTGAAAACAGAATAGGTATAGGATGAATTCAAATGAACAAAACACAATAATGGTTAGAAGAAGAAATAGCAATAGGCCTAGAAAGATAGCAAACATCAATAATAGCTAAGCTAGTAGCAATATAGATAGCAATATTAATAATACTAAAGAGAAAGCAAGTGAAAATATATACAGATAGCAATGTGACAATAAGAAACATTAATAAAGGTTTAAAACAAACAGATAAAAACAAGATTCTTAAAAAGAAGAATACAATATAGATAATGAAGATCAAAGACCTTATTACAACATAAAACAATCAAATAAAGTTAGTTAAAGTAAAGAGTTACAGTAAAGATAAATAGAATAACAAAGCTAATAGCCTGGCAAAGAAAAGAGCAACAAGCAAGAAGATAATACAGGTCAAAAAAGTTAATTGTAAAAAAATAAAGTACTGCTTAGAGTAAAAAAACAAACAAATTGACATATTAGTAAGATTGCTATATAAGTTAATAATGAATACAAGATTAAGAACAGAATAGAGAAAAACAAAAGCAATTAAAGAATTAGATCCAGAATTAGAAGTTATGATTTATGATTAGACTTATTTTTGGAAAAGACTAAAGATGAT